CCAAAAATTCCCTGAAAAACCACAAAGTATTTAAGTGTTTGTGTCATATTTCAGCAGCTTCATCAGGGGCACCCGTCGGACAAGTCTAACAGTCTAAAAGGAGGTTAATCACTACAGCAGCAGCATGAGGTCATCTCTTGTGTTTACCATGGGGTGACTGAGATCTGTTAGCTTATCCGTATCCATTCATCTTGTAAGCATTTGAACACACACAGCAAAATGTGTACTATGTGCAATTCAGTTAGGTGGACAAAAAAAAAAGAGCTCCAAAGCCAACGAGATGTTTCTGGACACTTTCAGACACTGGTTTAGATCTACATGCATGAAGAGTTCAGAGACTTCCTGTTGTGGTCATGCTCACGAGATCATTTTTGTGTCTGCTGTTGAGCGATATCACAGTACCAGTAAAAACACAAAGTCTGGTTTATTGCACTCTTCAGTTACAGGATTATTTATCAGAGCTTTAAAGTCTCCCAGAGAAACATCAGATATTCAGCTTTAGTTTGTTCACAACTTACTTGATAACCCAAAAGCCAAGCAGCTGTAGATAAACACAGAGAGACACGGATATGATGGGAATTTACAAAGTCATGTGTGAGGGCAGTGATGCAGGGGATTACGTTCTGGTGACAGCTTGCTGGTGTGATCTGTCAGTGTTTCCTGCATCTTCATTAAATATGTCCTGGGGAAATACCACGGTGTGACGGAGTATCACTTGTGCAGCATTGTTAATATGTAAATTAAGAGCAGTATATTAATCTTTTTGCACCACTGTCACATATAATGCTGTACTGAAGTGCATTGCACAGCTCTCACCGTGCCATTACATATGACATATTACTCTGTATGGATTCTGGAAATATATTTTCAAGGTCACTTTGGGTGCAAATGATGAAGGTAAAGGTGAAATGCTACTCATGGTGCCCAAGATGATAGTATATGGTTGTGAAGGTTGAAGACGATCCATACAAAAGAAAAATGTGCGTAATCTAAAGGTTTCAACAATTTTCACATCTGGTGCAACCTTGACCCGATTTTCCCTCAAAATGAAATCAGCTCGAACTCTGATTGGTGTTTACCATCCCACACGATTTGAACACAATAGTTTGAAAACTGGGATTAAAACTGCAAAAAAACAGAACCAAATACTCCTCTCGTCTCCTCTGAGGGGAACAACAGTGCACTCCCCCGAGGGGACAGGAAGTCATTAGATTCGCTCTGCTGAGACCCTTAATAGGTGAATTCCACCAGTGGGATCTTAGCAGCAGTTACATAGAAAAGACTTATTTTTTAGTTATATTTCTTTCATTCATGAAATTTACGATGCTTTGATTCAAATTCCCCAACTAACTTTATATATTTAAGATGCTCACTAAGCAGTTACAAAGAAAAAACAACCCAAATAACATTAAATGAATACTCTGACAGAATTAACACCAACACAGATACACCTCCGACTGAAGATTCAGAGTACTGCTGTCAGCCATCTGCTCAATTTTAAATTTGTTTCTTTTT